GATAGGAAAAGGATCCTCCCTTTTCCAATGTTCATGACATTTCATTAAACACAACAATAGACGGATCCTGTTGTTCCTGGGGATCCAGGGGATTCCATGATCATGTTCGTTTATCGTATATAGTGCAGTCAGAAATCATTTAAAATTAAATATAAATAGTATATAACAAAAACTAATTGTACGAGTTATGATCATGGGATCCTCTGAATCCCTAGAAAAAAGATCCGGCGAGGATTCTTTTCCCACAACAACTACTTCTCCACAACAATATAATTACGAGTATAAATTGTTTTTTATTTATTTTTATTTTTTTATCTTTTGACTCATATTAACTTTTTGGCATCTTGCAGTAACAATTGACAAAAAAAAAAAGTATTTGTTAAAATTTTAATATGGAACTTTAACGAAAAACTCCAAGTATTATTTACTTTAACGAAAAATCATATTTTTACATTAAAAAGTCAATCATGTTACTGTCCCATTCTGGCCCGGGGCGGATCACTTCCCAGGCCCGCTCCACCACCGTAGCAAGATATTATCCGCTTTGGGCTTACCATTCCCTTACGGTTTTGTTTTTGGGAACTCACGAGCAACTTCCCAGTGGGTCACCCATCATGGGATTGCTCTAGCCCCTTTCTCGCTTAACTTCGGAGTTCCAACGGAACCCAAAGCCAGTGAGCTCCCAAAAGGCCTCGTACTAGGTAGGGATGAGAATATACATATAAGGATCACTCCCCTTGGCGACGTGGAATGTCACAATCCACCCCCCTTAGGGGCCCGACATCCTCGTCAGCACACACACAACCAGGGTTAGGCTCTGATACCAAATTGTCCCATCCTGGTCCGGGGCGGATCACTTCCCGGGCCCGCTCCACCACCGTAGCACGATATTGTTCACTTTGGGCTTACCATTCCCTCACGGTTTTGTTTTTGGGAACTCCCAAACAACTTCCCAGTGGTTGGGATTGCTCTAGCTCCCTTATCGCTTAACTTCGGAGTTCCAACGGAACCCAAAGCCAGTGAACTCCCAAAAGGCCTCGTACTAGGTAGGGATGGTAATATACATATAAGGATCACTTCCCTGGGCGATGTGGGATGTCACAGTTACTATTCACTTTACCTTTTATTTTGTTCTTATCGTTAAAACTCAAAGTTTTCAAACCATTTTTCATTAGTTTTCTTATTTTAATAAACTCTGATGTATTTTATATGATAATATTTTAATTATTAAATTTTAATAATTGAATTGTTAATTAATAAAAAAAATCTAATGATAAAAACCAACGGTGTATAACTGCACTATAGCATATTAGAAAATCTCAAAAAAAAAAAAAAAAAAACTATTTCATTAAAACTGACAAATAACAAATATAGTATTCAAGAAAAGGAGCCACTTAAACTACGGTATAGTGATATTCTTTTTCTCTCGTAAGTGAGAAGTCTTAGGTTCGATTCTCGCCAAAGGCGAATTTGAACCAATTCATTGCTAACCCATTGTGAGGCTAAGCCCATCTTTTTCTTTTAGTGTAGATAATATTGTTTGTTTAAAAAAAAAAAAAAAAAGAAGGAAGGAAAAACGTGCCGCTATTTAGAATCACGAGCTTGATTTGAATATAAGAGATTTGGAGACACCACCACCTTATGTCAAGCGTGGCCACCGGTCATTGTTATGGTCAAGGGATATACAATTCTATTACATATTGAAGAAAGTTGAGGTGCTATTTTAAAATTAATTGGTAAATGCAGACTAGTCAAATTGCTTTTATGCACACTTAAGGCTCCTTATTTCTCCAATGTGGTATTCATACTCTCAACATACTCTCTCACAGGTAACGACGGAGCTAGGTAGAGAGCTACATTGGGCTCCAGCCTAGGGGAATTTTATGTTCCAATTCATTTTACGTCATGTAATTTTTCATTTTTTTTCCAGTTTAGCCACCTCTAGCCCACCCATATTCACATTGAAAAGCTCAATGCCATTGATCATACAACAAATTTCCTTGATCCAAATGAGTTCAATGTTATATTTTTTTTGTTTTTATTTTCGTAAGTTGGTTCAATACCGTTATTCTTTTTCTTTTTAAATTGCTTCATAGTTGTTCTTCTCATTAATTGGACAACAATAACATCTCGTTTGATCATTCATTAGTCTCCTTATAGAAGTTAACTTATGCAGTAAAAATATTAGCCCATTCGATAAAAATTTTCTGATTTCGTCCTTGCCCACGGGTGGTAAAATTTTAAGCCTAACAGGTTGACAAAGGGTGACATGGATCACGTGTGGTCGTTGGACTTCACATGTGGGATAACCTGCAATGATACCATGAAGAAAGTTGAAATTCTACCATAAAACTAACTGGCAATATGAGAGTAATCCAATTACGTAGATCAAGTGTGGTTGTTGCACTTCACACATGGGACAACATGCTTTGATATAATGAAAAAAGTTGAGATTCCACCATAAAATCAACTAGCAATATGGGAAGTAGCCTAATTAGTTATAACCACATGCAAGATCTCTCTTTTCCTCGATGTGGGATTCATACTCCCAACACGCCCTCTCAATTGTGGTGAATTTTCAAGCCTAACACGTAGAGATCTTATGAAAATGAAACATTTTCGCATAGAAGATGTCAAACATATATTGAACATTCTAGAAATAAAAAAGCATTTCGAATAAATTTTTATGAGTTATTTACTTTTTTTCTTTTTCTTTTTCTAAAGTTTTGTCTAAACAGATAAAAATGCGTTTTGAGTCTTGATAACACATATTGAGTGACATGAACCACATTGTGGCCGTTAGCTTCACATGTGAAACAACATGCTATGATACCATATTAACTACATTGTGAAAAATCAAAGAATGCTAAAGAATTGAGAAAGATGAAGAACTAGAAAGAGAGAGAGAATTGAAGAGGAAAATAAAGAACAATGAACTTGCTTTTCTGTATTGATTGAATGATTCTTAGTTACAACAGATAGCTCATAAGCTATTTATACAAACATACTACTAACTAACTACTTCATAGTCTTCGAACTATACTAGCAATCCAATGCACCAAATGATGTTACATGTTACCAAGTCAATTACAACACATGATGACATATGTCACTTAAAAGATTACAGATTAATATTACAAAAGAAAGAAGATTTATAGATTAAGGTACAAAAAGATAATGAATTCAATACATTATGCACCCTATAATATAAATATATTACTAATTGTTTGTTGGAATGATGTATATGCATTAATCGTGCATTATAAATATTCACTATTCTATTATACGTGCCAGTCCTCTTATACATGAGTTTAGGTTTATCGTTCACTTTTAAAACAATAATTTGATTTGTATAAAAATAATGATAATTTGGAATATTACATTTGAACCCCGAATACCGAAAGGACCGTGCCAGACAAAGCTTTGAGTTAATCATTTGAAACTTTGTGCATAGCAACAACATAATTATCCCTCATAAAAGTTAAACATATTAGAACTAGTAGGTGTCGTTGCTTTGCTGCTCTCCCTCTCATCTCCTCTAGTTAGCCTAGTGATTTCCTTCTCTCTCTTTTTATAAAAAGAGATCAGTTAGGGACTTCGTTACGGAAGTTTATGATTTTGAAGATTGAAAAAACTCATAGATGCATTTTAGTTTGAAAATTCATATGCATGCTTTAAAATGATTTTAAATAGACTAAAATTTTGACACCATTCGATACTAAAACCATACCACAACCAAACGTTATAGAATTAGCACGATACCAAAACTTAAAACGACGAAACCGAACCGATAAAGAATTTCGATATTGGTATTATTAGTCCAACCGAACCGTACTGCACCACGTCCAGCCCTACTAGCCATTAGTCTAATGGTCTTTTTTCCACACTGTTGAAAGAAGTTCCGTATCTTACTAACCAAGTCCATTAGGAGCACCCTAGTGTTGAATAAAAATTGGATTCTTCCAAAAATGTCCCAAATTAAGCAACAGTTTTACTTTAAAATTCAGCAAGAAAAAGAAGTGCAATGTTTTTTAATAGACTCCAAAAAAGAAAGATATATGCTGAGAAGCAAAGGCTTTACCTACGATACGAGGCTTATCAGCCCCACAGATACTCGTCTAATTTTAAATTATTTTGTTAATTAAAAAGAAGAAGGGCAAATATCTTAAGACGTCTAGTTATAATTTTATATTTAATTGTCGCATATGGTTTTGATTAATGAATTTTCTAGTATTAAAGTATGAGGTCGTTGATTATTATTATTATTATTGTTTGGTCAAATGATAGGTTTTGTTAGATTAGGTGTTAAATTAACCACTAACGGAGTTTAAACCTATGTCATCATGTAAGGATTCAACACCTTTCCACTACTGTGGTAAAGGGCCACTTGCATGAGGTCATAAGTTATTAGCTAGGTTACAAAGAATTAAAGAAACAACTGGAAAATTAAACCCAATTTATTAAAGCTGGTAAATGACAGATTGTGAGGTCTCCTTCAAACTAAAAACTAAAGATCTCGGGTTCGAAACCAGACTTGTGGTCATGGAAAGCTGAAATGCCTATATGAGTCTTCTCGACCCCAAAATAGGTGGATAACCGTAGCACCATGCATGCTCTCGCCAATCCTACTTCGGAATTAATTACAGCTTTTATTTTCTTTACATTGGCCCCATCTTCTTTGTAATTTTGCACAAAATGTTTAAAATAATACAAATAAAAAAAAAGAGTGGCAAGTTGTTGCTCCTGATGGAGAAAGGTGGTGCCGACTCCGAGCACGTGCGTGAATAAGAAAGCGCTGTAAATTTCGGAAAACCAAAAACCAGAAAACAAAAAACCGCACACGGAAAATAAATAAATAAAAGGAAAAGGCACGTTAAACTTATTAAAGCACGTTTAAAATACGCATTATCTTGGTCTTAAGTGTGTGTTACGTGTTTAGTGAAGTAGTTTTGTAGGCCCCTTTTTATATGCCTTTTTTTTAAATATATATAAAGCCATATATTTCATAACCTTTTCCATAACTCACAATTCATCTTCAATTCTCTTAAATCTTGATCTTCATCCTTCTTCAGAATCTTGGTTTTTTGGTAATTTTGAATCTAAACCCTAAATCAACATGAGGAGGAACTGCAATTTGGAGCTTCAGTTATGCTTTCCAGGTGTTAATGAAACCCAGCAACAAGAACAGCAGCAGCAGATGACCATATTTTACAACGGCGTGGCGTGCGTTCGTGATGTTACAGAGCTTCAGGTATGTCATGAGTTTGTTTAATTCTTTGTTTCTTAATTTGTAACCTAAAAACGCGAGACGATCTAGTTTCGTGCATTTAGATTTCTTCGGTTAAGTTTCAATGTTATTCAACAACTGTTGTTCATGAAAATCTAGGAGTATATCGTTAATAAAATATAGATAGAGCAAAGTAGGTTAGAATTCGGAGATAAAAGTGCTGTAATGAGCTTTGGCTGTGTTATGGCTCATGCCAGTGTTGACTCTCCATTTCCAAATATATTTAACATTCGAATTGTCTCACGTTCTCCTTCTTTTAATGTTTAAGATGATCTGCCAACCCCAATAACTATTAATCTTATTAATGGAATAATTATCCACTAATAAATTAATAAATTGATTTGCTGGGATTTTGCAGGCCAGATCCATCATTTTTCTTGCAAACAAAGAAATGGAAGAAAGGGTGAAGAGTCCATTTACTCCAAGTGGATCATCAGAACCACCTTCACCAACTGTGATGTCTCCGCTGTGTAGCCCCGTTGCCGGTATGTCTATGAAGAGATCACTCCAAAGGTTTTTGCAGAAGAGAAAGCTTCGGACTCAAGCAACATCTCCGTACCATCACTAGGAATTAAGGCACTTGAATTTGTTATTTATGATTGTCATTTGTCAGTTAGAGGGAGATCGATTTATCGAAGAGGGCTTTTTGTAAATTAGTCAATTCTAAGCGCTTCAAATTATCGTGTGGGAGACATCGTATGTACAATATTGTGTGGTTGATGTTGGATCTTAGTTGTCACATAGTGTTCTTTTGATATCGGATTACGACATGACTTCATTTTTTTTATTTTTTATGTATTTTTTATTTTTTGTTCTTTTGTAGATGAGGTAGATGATAAGACTGACTATGCTTATTTCTTATATTTTCTATCATTAATGAATAATATTATATCCATACCGGAAATTACACAAATAAATTACCTATTAGAATTAAAAAAATATAAGAACTTCAGAATTCTTCATGGCTTGTTTTGGTCACATGATTCAATAATTTTCATTACAAATGATGTTTTACTGCAGTAGTGGAAAATAATTGTGTCTATGCATCATGGTGCGGATTTGATTCTTCCCGATTCTCCTTTCCCTCATAACTAACTGTTAAACTCAGTAATACTATCGTTTGTCGAAAAAAAAAATTTCATTCAGTGACCAATAAAAAAACGAGCATTATTCACAACAATGTATATTTTTAATGATAGCAAATTAGCAATGCTAGAGTGAAAAAAAAAATTGTTTGGACCCGAATAACATTTTGGGCCGAGCTCATGACCTACCTCAGCCCAATGTATGGGACATTAGGAATCTTAGAATATTCTCAATAAGAGCCTGGCCCAATAGAATTCAGCCGAGTCCTATCAGGAAATAGTTTCATCCGGATAAGAGAGACGGTTGAGTCTTAGTGTAATAAGGAATCCTCAGAGATCAGTTATGCTTCGAATAAGGGGAGATACCAAGAATCAAGGGTTGAATCTAGGTGATAATAAAGCCAGATTCATAGTCCTACATAGACCAGGATTGGCCGAAGCCTTTTCGGATTTGATCAAGGAATTGAAGTTCGAATGGAACTCTAATTTGGCCACGAGGAATTCCTACTATAAATAGAGAGGGAGTGCATCATTCAAGCCCCCTCCAAATCAACACACAAATCTGTCATGCGCAAACTTTTGCTCTACGTGAGACCTCTCAAACATCTTGAGATTTTTATTTTACCCTTTTTCCCGCCAACATATCTTCAATTTGGATAAACAACACTGTGTTGGCAATCGGCAACATCTTCAATTTGGATAAACAACATTGGAGCCATAAAATCAGTCGACTGAGGAGCACTTTCAGTTTGGATAAACAACATTGCTTCAAGACAGATTGGTTATGTAATATCCCGAAAATATTAAGTGGTGATTAAGAGTAGATTACTTGTGTCCATTATTAGAAAAATTTATTTGTCTTATTTGAGGTTTGAATTAAGTGGCTTTTGGTCCATTAAATGATCCTTTACTTTGAGACCAACCTTTGGAAGAAAAAAATAATATATATAACAGAACTTTCATTTCGTCTAGTTTCCCAAATAATAAAATTATTTTATTATGGATTGTGCCATTGTTTGTCAGTTTAGATAGATGATTTGGTATTCTCAAAATTTAGAGGTGTATCCATAGAAAAAAGAAAAAGGAAAAAAAGGGGGATACTTACGTTACTAGGCAAGGAGAAAAAGGGGGAAATGATGTTCTAGAAACTCTTTTTATGGGTGCTCTCCTCTCCAGCCGAGAGTGAGAGGCCTTTTTAGTTCTTTTGGCTACCAAAGTTCTCAAAGAAGAAGAAGTTAATATCCAGTTATTTTGCTGGACAAGTGAGGTTTTTTTCTCTGTCTTTATTAGAGGTATCTATTTCATACTTTTGGGATCTAATTGTTAGTTGGTTTGATAACCCATGAATTAGTTTGGGTGGGAGTAGGAAACATGAAAGTATCATATTGCATGTCATAGTTTTAGAGATGAGCACCAGGTGTTTGTTTAAAATCCCCAATTAACCTTGAATTAGGGTATGTTGTTTGGTATTTTGTATGAGCAGTGTGTGATGACTTTCCTTACTTATGGATAAGGACGAGAAGGACAAGGTGACTGCTGAACAAGTCGACAAACACCATGGGAGTTGAATATCAAGAAATTGTGTTGAGGTAGGGGAGTTCTAGCTATAAAAATATTTTGATTTTTCATTCTTACTTGATAACGGATTGTTGGCATTTAAGCACTATTTCAAGCTTACTTAAAATGTTTTTTTTTCTTTCCATTTTCGATTATGTGAAAGAAGTGAAGCAAAAGTGCTCTATGGTTTGATTCTAATGATTTTAATTTCGTTGCTACAACTTTGGTGAGTTTAAAGTGATTGCAATGATTTTTCAAGATTGTGTTTTTAATGTGCATGCCTCTTATTTTACTCATTACCGATTTCTAAAGCATCTTGATATGGATGTTCAAATTGGGAAAGTAGATGGAAAATAGTATAATACCGGTGAAATTGAGAATGCTGAGGAATGTATGAATGAGCACAATGACCCGTGAAATTGTTAGATTATGGGCATAATGACCCAATGTTTCCCGGGGAAAGCTCTATGTGTGGGCTATAAGAAGGAGTTATCAATATGACAGATATGTGTGGTATATATGTTGGCCAGGTATATTACGATTCTTTCCAATCTGCTAATAACTTGTTTGGGATAAAAGAGAAACTTTGTGATCAGTTGTGCTATTGTTTTTTTTAATAACAATGGCTTTGTTGTCTTTATGAAGAAAGAAGTGTTTTTGAATTGTGTGTTGTACCATGTTGTTATCAAAGCTTCTTTATGCTCTGAAACTTTGGTTTTCCTACCATCTGTTACTTCCAAGCATTTTAGAGTATAATTTCATTGTTTAAGATAAACCCCAATAACTAGTAATCATATTAATAGAATAATTATCCACTAATAAATTAATATATTGATTTGCTGGGATTTTGCAGGCCAGATCCATCATTTTTCTTGCAAACAAAGAAATGGAAGAAAGGGTGAAGAGTCCATTTACTCCAAGTGGATCATCAGAACCACCTTCACCAACTGTGATGCCTCCTCTGTGTAGCCCCGTTGCCGGTATGTCAATGAAGAGATCACTCCAAAGGTTTTTGCAGAAGAGAAAGCATCGGACTCAAGCAACATCTCCGTACCATCACTAGGAATTAAGGCACTTGAATTTATTATTTGTGGTTGGTATTTTTCGTTTTCAGTTAGAGGGAGATCGATTTATCAAAGAGAGCTTTTTGTAAATTAGTTAATTCTAAGCGCTTCAAATTATCGTGTGGGAGACATCATATATATAATATTGTGTGGTTGATGTTAGATCTTTGTTGTCACATATTGTTCTTTTGATATCGGGTTATGACATGACTTCATTTTTTTATTTTTTATTTTTTTATTTTTTTATTTTTGTTCTTTTGTAGATGAGGGAGATGATAAGATCGACTATGCTTATTTCTTATATATTCTATCGTTAACGAATAATATTATATCCATCCTGGAAATTAGACAAATAAATTACCTATTAGAATTAAAAAAATATAAGAACTTCAGAATTCTTCATGGCTTGTTTTGGTCACATGATTCAATAATTTCCATTACAGACGATGCTTTACCGCAGTACTGGAAAATAATTATGTCTATGCATCATTGTGCAAATTTGATTCTTCCTGATTCTCCTTCCCTTAACAACTAACTGTTAAACTCAGTAATGCTATCGTTTGTTGAAGAAAAAAAAATTCATTCAATGACCAATAAAAAAACAAGCATTATTCACAACAATGTATATTTTTAATGATAGCAAATTAGCAATGCTAGAGTGAAAAAAAAAAAAAAAATCTGTTTGGACCCAAATAACATTTTTGGGCCGAGCTCATGTATGGGACGTTAGGAATCTTAGAATATTCCCAATAAGAGCCTGGCCCAATAGAATTCAGCCGAGTCCTATCAGGAAATAGTTTCATCTAGATAAGAGAGACGGTCGAATCTTAGTGTAATAAGGAATCCTCAGAGATCAGTTATACTTCAAATAAGGGGAGATACCAAGAATCAAGGGTTGAATCTAGGTGATAATAAAGCCAGATTCATAATCCTACATAGACCAAGATTAGCCGAAGCCTCTTCGAATTTGATCAAGGAATTGAAGTCCGAATGGAACTCTACTTCTGCCATAAGGAATTCCTACTATAAATAGAGAGAGGAGTGCGTTATTCAAGCCCCCTTCCAAATCAACACACAAATCTGCCATGCGCAAACTTTTGCTCTAGGCGAAACTTCTCGAACATCTTGAGATTTTTATTTTACCCTTTTTCCCGCCAACATATCTTCAATTTAGATAAACAGCACTGGAGCCATAAAATCAGCCGACCGAGGAGCACTTTCAGTTTGGATAAACAGCACTGCTCCAAGACCGACTGGTTATCTAGTCTCGGTCAACAAGGATTTCCTGAGTCCTTGTTGGAAAAGGTCACCTTATTAGCCTTTTCGGCGAAGTGAGGTTTCACTAGGTTACTTATCATTTGGCACATTGAAAGGCGACAGAGTTCGGCATTCAGACAGTCGAACCATATTTACAATTAAGACACACATCTCCTTCGAGTACATGTGTCCTTATAGTCTGGTACCAATTCAACACACTTATATTCTCACACATATAATTACAATCACTGAACTCAGCCCCGACGATTCGTGAACTTTACAAAACTAGCAGCCTTGTCTTCAAGCTTTATAACCCAAAGGCCGAGACGTGTTTCTTCCTCAGCTGCAGTCGCAAGATTCAGAAGTCATCAGCGCCCCCAACGCCACATTAACATACATTTCACTCCCCAGCCGAGCTCAGCCAAGGAGTTGGCACGCCCCATTCAACTGAATAACGTAGTTAGCTTATTAGTTATTCGACATGTACACTACATAGGCTAAGTAGTTTTTAGGGTTAACAAAAACAAACATAATTATAATGTTTTTTTTTGTTGAAAATAATAGTGGGTAATGAATGCCCACAGTATTGAAGACCTTGCCATAGCATTGAAAACATTGCCACATTATTGAAAACCTTGGCAGAATATTGATATGTGGAGATCATTTGTCAAAGGTGTGGTGTAATTATTCAAAATGTAATAATACGAAGTTGCTCTATAAATAGAGCACTCCGACTACTATCAATGAATACAGAGCACAGAGAAAAAGAGATGAGGGAAGAGAAAGAGAGGAAGAGAAGAGGAGAGGAGAGAATAAATAGAGTTATCTTTGTACTCTTATTATTCAAATTATAATGAAAGCACTACTGCTGCCCGAGGACGTACTCCAGTCACACTGACTGTAGAGGAACCTCGTAAATTTTGTGTCTTGTTTTATTTATTCCACTGTACACACATCGTCGATTTTACAACATTTTTTTTATACATATAGATAAACACTATTAAATATACAAATGGAAACACTATTCATATATTCTCTCTGTTAACTACATTGAAATATTTGAGAATCGAAAAGAAAATGGAGAAGAAAGAGTAACTGAGAAAAATGAACTATAAAGAATTTAGAGAGAGAAATATGAGACTTGTATATTAACTTAAAACAATGATGATTACACACTCTGTTTTTATAAAATAGAAAGCTTAACAACTCTAACCAAATACTAACAAATTTGCTAACTATATTACTAACTTGTACAACTATTTAACTAATTGTCTAACTAATGATGTGGAACCTTTAATACTCTCTAGTACAGTAGGGAGGAGGATTATCTATCCTCTTATTCTTATCTCCTTTCATCCCCTCCTCTTACACATTGCTTTTTGTTTTATTATCTCTATAAAAAAAATCAATATTAGATGTTGGCGTGACTTAAGCGTAACCGTTCAAATAGAAGGACATAAAAGAGTAGAGAGATTAGAAGGGTAGAAAATCCTCCTCCATGCAGTAGTACATGTCATGGTTAAAAGACAACATGATTTAAACGAAAAAAAATTTGACATCTTCTAGATGTCATAATTTAAGTTGACTTCTGGTTGCTTCTTAAATTCTATTTTTGACTTCTGGTAGCTTCTTAAATTCTATTTTTGAGATAATATTGTTTAATCCTAGTTGTCTTTTTACGTGATAAGACCAATAGTTACATATTAAAGTCCCACCACATAGTAACATATTAAACTTTACAGTGACTTATAAATAATTAGAATATCTTTCGCAATACTAATTAATTTACTTGTGAAACCTCCACTTCTTTCGTGGGTCTCTAGCTAAGCTTACATCCCTTTATTTGCAAGTTGCATTTACAACTAAATTACCCAAAAAAATTATAATGCACAATATTTTTTTTTATAAAGTTAAGAAGTACTCCAGTAATCAACTTTACTTTAAATTTGGTTAGAAAAATAATACAATATATAACACTTAAAAAATATTATATCATGTACATATTTACTGTGGCAAAAAAAAAAGATTTTAAATAATGAACTTTTTTAAAGTGGGACTTCATAAATTATTATAGTAGCCTAGTAGGTTATACATGTTACGAAGAAATAATGAGAAAACGAAACCCAATTTCTAGCTCAAACATAACTCAAGAGTATTCTGTGAGGGGCTCTATACGGATCTAAAAAAGTGGTGGATATGGTCCATTTTAGAGTTTCGAGGAATCTTTGAAGTTTTATTAAATAATCTCTTCCAATGAGGGGTTTTATCTTTCCTGCTCTATATGTAGCTATATATATTTATTTATGTAGTAATTTGATTAAACAATGATTTTTTTTTGTGTTTTTGTCTTTCTTAAGTTAATTTTTGGACGTGTTATCTTAAATTCTTTTATGAACCCTTCAACCTAAAAAGTTCAAATTGTGATAAAGTTAGATTTCATCACTTATGAATCGTTCGTTGAATTAGATTCCCTTATCTCAATCTCATCTGTTGAAAGAAACAAACATCCACTTCACCCTCTAAAATAATTTAATTTTCACGTATAACACAACAATTTACCTAGCACCAATTGGTAAATTAGTATCATACAATTTTGAAAAAAAATATTTGAAAATTTCCCCCATCAATGCTTATGAATGTTAAATCTATTTGAAATTTTCATTCTTTTGAAAATTTAAAAAATTATTAATTAGCAAAATTGCAAGAAAAATAAGTAAGAAAAAAGAATTAAAAAAAATAATAAAATAAGAGTATAAGTGTATTTACAAATGAATGAAGAGTGGTATAATTTTTCTTATATGAGTTGCTATTTTTTTGTGGAATTTACTGTTTTTTTAGACTAGATGTAGCCCGATTTTATGCTATCCAATAAAAGAAGTTACTAGTCGCAATGATTGATCAAGCCTCATTTTCTGAGTCATTAGAAATGAAATTTCTAAACTAGAAATGTGATAGCCTTGTAGATGACAAAGCCCCCATTAGGATGCTCTCAGTTCTCGAATTTCGCCGATCCACAACTTTTTACAGCCTGTTACCTTAAAAAATTATGTGGTTTGTCCCTAGATTCCGCCATTTCTGCTTCCATGAAGCTCCAGTTCGAACCCACAACCACCCACAACGCTGACTTGGTACTGAGTCTGTTCAGAGTCGTCAATCGGAGGTCCAAATCGAACACCCAGACCCACCACCATTAGATCTGAAAAGTTACGTTTTGAGGCATCTATCAGAGGTCCAGATCGAACACGCAGACCCATCAACGACGCCGTATCCTCCCGTTCTCGCTCTTCCATTCTTTGCCACTGCTCCTCCTAATGTCGGAGCCGAAATCGCTCCTGACGGTGCTGCTTTTCCGTCTTCAGTTTTGCCTGCGGCGGGGTTTTGGGGTTCTGAGGATTTGATGGGGTTGGGAAATGGAGTAGGAGTTTGAGGGTGAAGCAGACGAATCTGGATGTGGGTTTTGGTTTGGACATGGTTTTGGAGGATTTTACATAGGGAAGTGCGGCTTTGGGAAATGAAGTAGGAGTAAGAGGGTGCAGGGAAGAGGGAGGGTGAGGGTGCATAGGACAGATCTGGAGGTGGGTTTAGATTTAGACATGGTTTTGGGGATTTTACAGAGGGAAGTGGGGTTTTGGGAAATGGAGTGGGAGTAGGAAGGTGCGGGGGAAGAGGGAGGAGGAAGACAAAGTTTCTTTTTTCTTTTTCTTTTTTTAAATTTTTTTAGTTTTTATTATTTTATTATTACTTTTTTAATATTTAGATGTTCAATCATTATTCACGTATATGCCATATCATCATCAGTTAACGACAAATTTATTAGTAAGCTTCACGGATGTATGAAAGTGTTCTAAAATTATAACTTTATGTATCATTTTGGGATAAAAAAACTTTATGTAACAAATGTTGAAATCCAAAAAACTTTAAAGTAATAAACTGAAATTATCCCATAAATAAATATAAATATAAAGCACTTCTGTGTGCGGTTCAAGCGTAATCAAGCCGACAAGCAGCCAGGCATAGACCCAAATTCCAATTCCAGTTTGGTATTTTACATCGTTGTCTTTTTCCTATCTATTGGCCCGATTGGTACTCCTTGTTGTTTCCTTGCAACATGCGTTGAAAAATACTAACTAAATGAAAAGAGATAGGGCGGGGAAGGCAAGTTGATGTTGACAATGTGGAAAATGGTACCTATTGAAAGAAAACGTGAGTGAATATGAAAGCGGTGGAAATTCATAAGAGAGAATCTCGCCGGATCCTTTTATTTCGTGAGAATCTTGAAAATTTTTTAATTACATTCGTTCATCATATATCATGTGATTAGTTTTTGTCAGGTGCTGTTTATATTCAATTTTAAATAAAAAAAATTTACACTAATTTTTTACCGCACGATATACGATGAATGAATGTGATTGAAAGATCTCTATGATCCTCACAAAAAGGATCCGACGAGAATCAAATTTTCTTTAATAGTATGCAGCAATTTTATGAAAATCGAATGATTTGGATTGAAAATATAAAATATAACATTTGTGAAACCAAACCTAAAGATTAAAATATCGTAGCAGTGCATTAATTAGTTATTTTTGTTAGATATAAATTAGGGGTTCCCACTTAGTACTACAATGATATTATTCTTCATTTATAAGTGAGAGATCAAATGTTTGATTCTCGCCAAAGGCAAAGGAGAATTTAAATCACGTTGCTAGTCTATTATGAAACTAAGTCCATCTCCCTTCCCTTATCTTTTGTTCAAAAAAAAAAATTAGGGGGCCTTGCTACATTGATACTAGCTAGTTTTATGTAATATTTAACTTAGAGAAAAATGCATTAATTCTTTCTATGCAAAATCTAACTGTTAATTTTTCGGTCCACTAAGTGATACATACCATAAAAGTCAAATTCATAAGTTGGAGAAATTGCAGTTGTATTCACAAAATTAACACAATTATTGAGAAGTTTCCCAATATATACGGGTCACAATGATAGAGTCCACCAAAATAGGCCCACATAACATTACTGTATAAACAAATAGAATTGAATGATGAAACCTAAGGGAAAAACCAATTTTAAAAATCATGATACACGTGATTAAATGAAAAGAGGAGCTTTTTCGCCGCCAAACAGTATATTGGTGTAAAGTGCGTGCGTTTCGCGTTTGAAGGGTTCTAGTCAAGTTTATGTGGGGCCCTTCTCAGTCCGCATGAATCTGATAGTTTTATATATATAGTCACTCCACATCGATCTAAAACCCACTCCACATCGATCTTCATTTGTTCTCTCTTCAATCTTCATCATCATCCTTCAGTCTCTTGGTTTGGTAGTAACCTTGATTCCAAACCCTAAATTACCATGAGGAGAAACTGCAATCTGGAGCTTCAGCTTCAGCTTCATCATCCTTCTGCTGATTCCAGCTTCCCTAACCTTAATGAAACCCAGCAACAAGAACAGCACGAACAACAGCAGCAGCAGCAGCAGCAGATGACAATTTTTTACAACAGAATGATGTGCGTTCGTGATGTTACAGAGCTTCAGGTACGTCACGTTCTTCCTTTAAAGTTTAAGATGATCTACCAAGCCAAATAGATATTAAGTCACAAATATTTTCCATTTGCGAATAACATATCTTGATCGAATAAAATCAACGATTGGAACCGTCAATTTATATCTTCATTTGTAGATCACTTCTAAAAAAAAAAAATATCATTTCAATTGAAGATAGCTTAATCATCCAAACGTATTAATTAAGCGGACGATTCATCATAAATATATTATTTGATATCTATACGGTCGATTATTTTAATACATTTGAGTCACTAATTGATGAATGAGCTCATCTTCCCAAGGGGGAAGTAGAAGTACAAGTATTATTCAGATATTAATCATATCAATGAATAGTTATCCTCTAATAACTTATTAAATTAAACCAATAATTAATTAAATTTGTTGGTACTTTGCAGGCCAGATCCATCATTTTTCTTGCAAACAAAGAAATGGAAGAGAGGGTAAAGAGTCCATTTACTCCAAGTGGATCATCAGAACCACCTTCACCAAATTTTATGTCTCCGCTGGGTAGCCCAGTTGCTGGCAGGTCTCTGAAGAGATCACTCCAAAGCTTTTTGCAGAAGAGAAAGCATCGGAATCAAGCAACATCTCCATACCATCACTAGGAACTAAGGCACGTCAAGTTTATTATTTACGTAAATTAGATGGAGATCGACTGATCGAAGAGAGCTTTCTGTAAATTAGTTAATTCTAAGCACTTCTAATCATCGTGTGGGAGACATCATATATACATTGTTTGGGTTGATTTTAGATCCTTAATGTTAGATGGTGTTAATCGGATTATGGCAAAACATTTTTCATTTGTTGTTCTTTTGTTGATGTGGGTGGAAGATGATATGACTGAGAAGATTACATCCATTATGGCTAATAATTTTCTTTTTTTACACAAATAAACCATTAGAATACAATATATTTTAAAAAATTGCAAAAATTCAAACAATATACCAATTTCGACATGGTTCACTAATTTCATTGGATGATAATTAACCAACTAAGAAAACAAGAATATTTAAGATGTTTTTATATAACAAAAATTTGACGAAAGTATCAGTGTAACTATGCAATATACATTATATTTTATTTTGTTAGATGTTTTTATGCCAATGCTTTCTTCTTGTTCTTCTTCTTCTTGTTCTTCTTCTAGTACAACACTACTTAGGCCTACCACAGTAGGTCAAAAAACAAAAAAGTATGATATCAATACATTAAACTCATACAAGAATCACACTTTTACAGTGAACTATAAAATTTGAGTGTGATACCAGTTTATTGAACTCATTAGTTCAATATATTAGACTCATGATTTCAATATATCAAACTCATGAGTATGGTATAGGGAATGTCACATCCTGGCCCGGGACGGATCACTTCCTGGGCCCGCTCCACCATCGTAGCACGATATTGTCCACTTTGAGCTTACCATTCCCTCACGGTCGAGCAACTTCCTAGTGGGTCATCCATCATGGGATTGCTCTAGCCCCCTTCTCGCTTAGCTTCGGAGTTCCTACGGAACCCGAAGCCAGTGAGCTCCCAAAAGGCCTCGTGCTAGGTAGGGATGAGAATATACATTTAAGGATCACTCCCTTGGGCGATGTGGGATCTTACAATCCACCCCCCTTAGGGGCCCGACGTCCTCGTCGGCACACATGCGACCAGTGTTAGGCTTTGATACCAAATGTCACATCCCAACCCAAAGCGGACAATATCGTGCTACGGTGGTGGAGCGGGCCCGGGAAGTGATCCACCCCAGGCTGGGATGTGACAATTTGGTATCAAAGCCTAACCCTGGCTGTGGTGTGCTGACGAGGATGTCGGGCTCCTAAGAGGGGTGGATTGTGACATCCCACATCGCCCAGGAGAGTGATCCTTATATGTATATTCTCATCCCTACCTAGCACGAGGCCTTTTGGAAGCTCACTGGTTTCGGGTTCCGTATGAACTCCGAATTTAAGCGAGAAGGGGGTTAGAGCAATCCCATGATGGGTGACCCACTGGGAAGTTGCTCGTGAGTTCCCAAAAACAAAACCGTGAGGAAATGGTAAGCCCAAAGCGGACAATATCGTGCTACGGTGGTGGAGCGGGCCCGGGAAGTGATCCGCCCCGGGTCGGGATGTGACAGGGAAGGCAATTCAAACCATCAAACTCAATAACCATGGATAACCACCGAATGGAACGGATTTGGGATGAAAATTTGGTTATATTTCAGATATGGGGAAAAACTGAAAGTATTATTCAATTATGGTTTCGGATATGGTCATAGGGGTCTCTGATCCGTATCCGTCCTCGAATCCAATCGGAATATTATATATTATATATAATATAATTCATATATAATAATTATGTATATTCACCGCATCCCTTACCTTGATACCAAAAGTTGCATTTGTGGGAAAATTCACAAGTTTTGAATCAAAACCAATGAGAATTCAATGGTGCTTATGAGAGAGATCAAAGATCAGCCAACATCATCAATGTATATATTATATTATAATGGCGAAATTAGTATATATTATATTAGAATGCATCAATTGAATGAATATGTTTTTGGTATTGACGAAGAAGGATATAACTGTTAACCGATGGGGAATTTTTTACCCCTGGGTATGATTATGGATAATCCCCGATGGATAATTTGCGATTATGAAAATAGTTAATTTTTATGGTTATGGGGTGGATATAGCATTTTACGTCTCCAAGCCGAACCGTTGCCATCCCTAGTGATACACATATATTGAACTCACACTAGTGTAGCAATAGTGTTATAGAAATCAAACTCAAGATGCTTGATTACTATCTATAGGTTTCACACTCACCTAAACTACTGTAAAATACCTTATTCAAATGATATTTTTTTAAATCAAATAAAAGACAGAGGTTGCATATAAGTAATTGTAATTTGAGCTATAATCTTGAACAAGGCCATGCCAAGTTCAGCCCACCATTGACAAATGTCTCAGTATATATAAGCTAAATGAAAAAAAAATATTGTCAAATGGTATTGGAGCTAAAGAAAAAATGGAAACGAGTATCTTTCACACGAAATTGCATGGTAATTTCCTGGAAGGTTTTGTAAAGTTACAAGGCATGGGGATTAGCTTGCTTGCTACCACTAGCATTCATACAAGGGATTCATACATATTCCCGATTGGTTGTGTATCTCTTTTTTTGCGAAGACAGATAGTTTTATGAGAAGTACTAATGAGACTTTCTAAATATGAAATTCTGTAAAAATGAAGCTCTATGCCATCTATGTTTTTTAGTGAATATTTTATTGTTGGACAGTAATTAACGTTAAAACTGTGAGGTAACAAAAATGTTATAAAAAATGTTAAAAACAGTAACCATAATCAAAACGATTTAAAATGTTTAACTGGAAAAGATAAAATAAATATTAAAGAAGGTTAAGTGTTGCAGCTTCTTATCATGCCTTCATTTCAACGTTACAAACTTTCTATGCGAATCAAGCTTTTGCTTTTCCGTCTTGCCTGTAATATTGAAGAGACAAAAACGTTTTAAATGTTTTTACTAATCTTCATTTTTACGCTTAATTAACGGCTGTGGGGATAATTGAGGTGACATGACATGACTTATTTGGAACTGGAGCAGCCCTCTCATGCTTATCACCCCCTTGGAATTTGGATTCTCTCCTTCTCTCAAACAACTTCAAAAAATTTATGGTCCAATATTTTGGCTCTGCTCAGGAAAAAAGGGAGTATGTAATGCGCGGGTATTTCAAACCGACGCATGTTAAACCCTGTAGAAGAAGAGAACTGAACACATGAAGAACTATGAATCTACGATTGAGTTGGGATACGATCACCTTGACATGTCGGTTGCTTATAAGTTAGGGTGCATACCCTTATTTACTTTCTACACAATTTATGTTAATTTCAGTTTAAGAATTTTGTCTCAACTTCCAGAAGACATGCTCAGTTAGTTTTCTGTACAGTTTAAAGATTTTCCCTTAAAGAATTGTTATTGACACTCCAAAAATCTCATTCTACACTCCAAAAATCTCATTCTACACTCCATACTTTCTATTTTTAGAAAGAAAAATACACTTGTGAGGAGTGTAGAATAAGATTTTTGGAGTGCCAACACTTCCCTTCTCTTATACTATTATTCATCCATTTCTCACTCATCTCAACTTTCAGTCAACTTCAGAAAGACAATTAGTTTTCTATACAGTTTAAGAATTTTCTCTCCTAATGTTATTCATCCATTTCTCCTTATCTCAACTTCCAGTCAGCTATGTAAAAGGTAAAAAAAGAAAGTGTGGATAACATCACCCATAAGTTAATCCCAGAAAGTAGAGGATAAACTAATAGTTTAAAAAATCAAACACATGGTCTTTGCCAACCATTGCTTTCGGTCTGGTCTGGTAGTAGTCCAAGAAAGAAAGTACCGTTTGGTGCAGAAACAAAACTTAAACCAATATTGACTGCCATTTTATTCCCAATACAGAAGTTGAGTTCTCAAATATATTTAGTTCAAGACAGAAAAAAAATTGACAGTTCAATGATTGCACAAAAGATAAATGTGATCGTCTTATAATCTCGGTGCAATGCGAGGACGATCCCATTCAGTTATAATGTGGTTCCGCGTGATCTCCTTCAGCGATCGGCAACCACTCAATGCCATTGTTAGCTCAAACTCGTCACGAAGCATTTGAAGAACTTTCCTTACACCAGCCTCACCATCTGCTGCTAACGAGAACACCACCGGTCTACCAATCTGAGCAAAATTGAGGTTTTAAGTATCGAATTAGAACTCGTAGGCTAATTAATTATACGGTTCTGTGGCAATTAAGGCATTGCTTCAAATTTGTTGCTTTAATATAACAGATATTAGAGGCAGGAATGAATCATAGCTGCAGTATCTTGTTTCTGCTGTACGTGTCAAGTAACATAAGCTCTACTCACAAATACGCCCGATGCGCCAAGGGCCAGAGCTTTAAAAACATCCGTTCCTCGCCTTACCCCACCATCCAAAAACACAGGAATTTGGCCTTGTGCGGCTTTGACGACCTATAAGCCATTACAACAAAACCATGATTTAGAATATTACGATTTACAGTTCTATACACCAAAGAAAGTGACTTGGAATTTAGAATGACTGAAGTTTCAAGAATACGAACTATTGAAGAGAATACTCAACAACTTCAGAACCTCGGAAGCATTTAAAAAATCGATAAAAGCAGAAAATATGAAGCAAATGTACCTCTTCCAATGCCATAATAGTTGCAGGGACATAATCGAGTTGGCGAGCTCCGTGGTTGGAGACAATAATTCCTGCAGCTCCATATTGTACAGCTAGTCGTGCTACATTTTTCAGCACACGCATCATTGAATTTGTTGTAAACTATCGATAATAGACCAAGCAGGGGACTTGGCTTTCTTTTGGAATGTGGAGTCAGGGATATGGTTGCTTACCATCCTCCGCAGTAATTACACCCTTAACAAGAATTGGTAATTTGGTGATTGTCTGAAGCCATTGTATATCCTGCGTATGTGGCCAAGAAGATCGTTTGAATTCTTACTGCACATTAAATGTTTCAACTATCATGTATTGAAGCAACCATTACCTTCCAGCTGAGAGACCGGTCGATTTGTCCAGCAACATAAGATGCAAGTCCAGAATCATTGGTCTGAAATTTCATCACCAAAACGGTCAAGAAATGTCTCTATTACTATGAAGTTACTTATTGTCTGATACTGAAAGTTGTATAGGTCAGTCATCCACCTTATCCATCTTTCCGAGATCCAAATCCTCAAAGTTCTTCAATGTTAAGTTTGGTGGC